CCCCTTTCAGTTTAAGTCGTGACTGAGGAACTTGAAGTAAACTTGAACTTGAACTTGAAGTAATTAAGCTGTCTCTCGATGATGACTATAGTTATATCATGGCAGATCCTATTTGGTAATTTAGTCAATTATTTTCTGTAAACTGGCAACCATTAAATGTCTAAATTAAATTTAAAAATTGCTTTTAGTAAAAAAATACATAAGTCTGCATTTATAATTGCTTACTTCCATACTAAATTGTATATTAGAAACAGTATGCAAGCCAAGTAGTAAATCCAAATTCATAGTATTTGAAAAAAGTGTGGGAGAAGTACCCAAATTACCTACTTCTTCTTGTGAGTGGGCATCTGATGGAGGCTACTTAATCCTGTTATGTCACATGAGAGAATTCATGAATGGGAGTGAAGTGAGTCAACTGATGCAGGTCAGTCATGTGATAATGACTAGTGGCAGATGAAGTATAGTCCAAATTCCGTACTGCACATAACATATTTTTCAAAAGGTTGTCTAGTAAAATCAAATTTAATCTAGAACCTAATCGAGTAGTAGGTCATTTGGAACACAGCCTTTGTGTTCCATTTGAGATGACACTAAACTCACACACTAAATGGTTCAGTGTACAAATGCAAAAGTGCATAGTATAAAAGTGCATACACTTAAAAAAAGGTGCTAAATAGCATCTCAACCAACTTAAAGATCCACTGAAGAACCACTAAAGACCTTTTTTAGGGAGTAGTGTATAGCTTGCCATTTGGGGATGTGACAGAAGTCTTAAAGCTACTGTGAGACATAAACATGGAATTGTCTGCCAAAAAAAGACTGTCACAATAATATTTTACTGTTTTTAGTTAAGGCGGCAAAGTGGCTCAGTGGTAGGCACTGTCACATTACAACAAGAAGGTCACTAGTTCGAGTCCCAGCTGGGTCAGTTGGCATTTCTGTGTGAAGTTTGCATGTTCTCCCTGTGTTCCTGGGTTGTTTACTCCGGGTGCTTCGGTTTCCCCCACAGTCCAAAAACATGTGGTATAAGTGAATTGGATGAACTAAATATAGTGTATGAGTGTGTTTAAGTGAGAGGGTGTATAGATGTTTCCCAGTATTGGGTTATGGTTGAAAGGGCATTCGCTGCATAAAACACATGCCGAATTAGTTGGCAGTTCAGTATATATATATAGTCAAGCCTGAAATTTTCATACCCCTGGCAAGTTCGGACTTAATTTTTTTTTTTTAATGTGAAAAATAAAAGCTGATAAATGTTTTTTTTTTTCACAATGATTCCTCTTGGACATCATGTTTTATCTTTTGGGAAGAAACTGTGTCATTTTTTATGACAAGAAACTTTTATTCAGAATTTATCAGGGCTATGAACAATTTCTGCCTTGACTATTTAAAGTAAAAAAAGGAGAAATAACGTCACTTACCTTATTTTAATTTGAAAAAACATGTTTTCTTATATGACCGTTTTTTTTATTACGAACTACTGCCACAAACTGTTGTTTGTTGTTGATTACATGTATTGCATGAACCATGAAGACACATTTTATATGTTTGTCCTCGTAATATTTTTATCCCAGTTGCAAGTATTGGCACTCATATCTATCAACCGTCTATCCATGTCATGACCTGTTCGTTGGCATGGAAGAATCCCGCTCAATACCATCCAAACCACGAGCTACCTCTGTGAAACACACAGCAGTGTGCTTTTCTTCAGCATGATCTTTAATAACACTGATAAAATCTCTACGTTTATCACTAATTATCATATGAACACCAAAGTGAAGGATTTTCATTAATAACACCCAATTTGTGGAGACCTCTCCAGCACTCACAGCACTTTTCAAACCAAGAATCCTCACATTGCCTTTGCATTAGGCATTGCTTAATTTCGTGCACACACACATATGCTCCCACACACACACACACAGACCCTTGAGGCCAGCCTTAAATTAGACAGGCTCTGCTCGCTCCTCTTGTCCTCTTGTCTGGCTGTGATTGACGTGCGGTGGGTGTGGCGGGAAGTCATTCGGTCTAATCATTCCAGCAGGCCTCTGGCTGTGTGAGCTGCGGGTGAATATATCAATACACACACAAACAAACCCACCGCAGAGCGCAGAACCTCTGAGCCAAGCACCCGGGACTGTCGGGATGTACTGGGGGGACTTTGCTTTTGCTTATCACACTCTTAATTAGAGATATTGAAGCAGAAAGGAGGTAGGATCTGCATGTGTGTGTTTGCGTGTGTGTGGTAGAAGAGTGATAAAGAATTCGCGATTGATGTTGTGTCAGTTTGGAGCCTTTCAAAGCCTGTAGAGAGGGAGAGAGAGAGAGGGACGTGTCAGCTTTTCCAGGCTGGATCACTGTAATTGGTCTGGGCTGTTCATAGTCCTGTTAACTTGTCAGTCAAGGCTGGATGGAGAAGGGGATAAGATGCCATCTTAATCTGGACGTTTACACACACACACACACACCCTAACGTGCACACACTTAAACAGAGGTTGAGCTGAAGGTTGTAGTATAGGACAGAGATCTGTCAATAATTACATAAATACTTTTCCTAATTAGAGTTTTTGTCTCGTTTCTAGTCCAAATATCAAAAGAATTCTTAAATCAAGAAGCATTTTCTAGACAAGTAAGAACTATTGTCTTGTTTTTAGAAATAATGTGTCAGAAATAAGTTAGTTTTTCTTTAAAACAACGGATCTTAACGGAGTAAGCAAATTAATCATGTTTTTGCTGTAAGTGCCAATAGCCTCATGGTACTGTGCACCAACGTGCTCATGGCAACCCGAGTTCAATGCCTGGCTCAAGGTCCTTTGTCGATCCTTCCCCCCTCTCTGCTCCCAATGCTTTCCTGTCTGAAATCTCTACTGTCCTGTCATAAATAATGGTAAAAAAACAAAAAATAAACTAAAAATTGCGTTTTCGGTTTAAACACTGCAAAATATGCTTGTCTCACTTGTGCCGATTTACATTGGGAGACAGCGTTAACGCTTGACAAAGGGTGTGTCCAAAGTTGGGCTTGCACGATCACCAAAGCAACATCAGCCAATGAATATAGATTGCAATGGGCTACTGTCTATTTGCATAAAGCAATCTGATTGGCTGACACTTCTGTGGGCGCTTGAAAAGTTGAGAAATTCCCAACTTCTGCAGCAAGCAATGAATCCACAATTCAGCAATGCTTGACGGCACCATTTCAAAGTGAATGGGAAGCATTTACAAGTAAATCGAGGGTTAGAGATTGTCTTGCTTCTAGTCTAAATATCTAAAAATTATAAAATCAAGAAGAATTTTGTGGACGATCATCAAAGAAGTGTCAGCCAATGAATTTAGATCTCGACTGGCTACTGTCTGAGCTGGGGTATTTGCATAAAGCAATCTGATTGGCTAACACTTTCATTGGCATTTGAAAAGCAGAGAAATTCCCAACTTCTGCAGTGAGTAACATTCAGTTTGGCAACGATTGGCGTCACCCTTTCAAAGTGAATAGGAAGTGTTGATCTGTAAATGAGGTGTTAGATTTTGTCTTGTTTCTAGTCCAAATATCTAGAAATTATAAAATCAAGAAGCATTTTCTAGACAAGCAAGACCTATTGTCTTGTTTTCAGAAATAAAAAGTCAAAATCTGTAAGGTTTTTCTTAGAACAAGCTTAATAATATGATAATGGGTTAACGAGGTAAGCAAATTAATAATTAGTTTTTTTACATTGAACACTGCAAAATATGTCTTACAAGTGCCTGATTCACATGGGGTGTCAGCGTTAATGCTGGACAGAGGGCGTGTTTGAAGTTGGGTCTGAAGCAATCGTCATAGCAGTGTCTGCCAATGAAGTTAAACTCCAACTGGCTGCTGTCTGAGTTTGGGTATTTGCACAAACCGATCTTATTGACTGTTCTGTTAGTGCTTGAAAAGTTGAGAAATTCCCTACTTCTGTGGGAAGCAACAGATATACAATTGCTTGACATCACCCTTTTAAAGTAAATGAGAAGCGTTGATGTGTGAATCGGGCTTTAGAGTTTTTGTCTTGTTTCTAGTTCAAATATCTAGAAATTATACAATTAAGAAGCATTTTCTAGACAAGCAAAACTTATTGTTGTGTTTTCAGAAATAATTTGTAAGAATATGTAAGGTTTTTCATTAAAATAAGCTTAACAATGTGTCAATGTATTCACATGGGGCGTCAGCGTTAACACTTGACAGAGGGCGTTTCAGAATTTGGGGCTGACGCAATCATCCTAGCAGTGTCAGCCAATAAAATTTGACTGCAACTAGCTTCTGTCTGAGCTGGGGTATTTGCATGAAACAATCTGATTGGCTGACACTTCTGTTGGTGCTTGAAAGTTCTCAACTTCTGCAGTAAGCAGTTCAACAGTGCTCAACTGCTGAAGTTTTGTCTTGTTTCTAGTCCAAATATCTAAAAATTATAAAATCAAGAAACATTTTCTAGAAAAGCAAAACATATTGTCTTGTTTTAAGAAATAATTTGTTGAAATTAAGTGAGTTTTTCTTTAAAACAAGCTAAATTATCTGCCAATGGGGGAAAGCAAAATAATCATATTATGCCAAAAAGAAAAACAAGATTATTTTACTTGTTTTAGGGAAAAACACACTTGAATTTGACATTACTTCTCAAAACAAGACAATTTTTGCTTCTCTTGAAAATGCTTCTTGATTTAATAATTTTTAGCTATTTGGAATAGAAACAAGACCATTTTTATTTTTTTGCAGTGAAAAATAAGTTAATTTTTACTTACCCCATTGGCAGATTATTTAGCTATAAAGAAAGCTGTTAGAATAATAATAAGAATAAGCTATACGATAAAAACTCACTGTATTTTTTATATGTAATTTTTACAACTTTTTAAAATTATTTTTAGATACAGTATTTGACTTTTTAGATATTTGGACAAGAAACAAGACAAAAACTTTTTTGCAGTGTCTATGTTATTTGAACTTGCTGTATTTAATGTGTGTTTTCCTGTCTTCCATGTCATGGCAGGTACAACTAGACAGCCACGAGACGGTGAGATCTCTGGGGTCGACTATAACTTTGTGTCAGTCGAAGAGTTCTTCTCTCTGGAGGAGTCGGGGGCGCTGTTGGAGAGCGGAAAGTTCAAAGGTCAGACAGTATTCATGACACATCTCCTGAAGAGTTTATAGTGATTATGAAGAAGAAAACTGTAGTGCAGGGGTTCTTAAAGCGATAGTTGACACAAAAATGAAAATCCTGTCATCATTTACTCACCTTTCACTTGTTTCAAACCTGATTGGGTTTTTTCTTCTTCTGAACATAATAGTAGTTAATTTAAAAGAAACATGTAACTCTTGACCTCTATAGTATTTGTTTATAGAAGTCGATGGTTACAGGGTTTCAGTTTTATTTAGAATGACTTATTTGGTTTTCATTAGAAGAAAGAAACTCAAAACAAGGTTTAAAACCACTTGAGCGTGGGTAAATAGTAAGTACATTTTCACGTTTGGGTGAACAAACCCTTTAAAGCCTCAATTTAAAGGTTTAAATCTGAATTTTCATCAAAGTCAGATGCTGAAAAATTGGTTATAAAAAACTAGTTTTTAATAAACATCTGCATACATGAATCAACTATTAAACAAACATCAAGTGCCTTTTGTATTAGAAAATGGATGAATAATAAGTGAAAACATAAGAAAATGACAAGAGACATTTTTTTTTGTTTGTCAACCAGAAGTTTTTTAAAAGTAACAGTGCAAAGTACAGATCAGTCTTATGTGAGAAATTGCTCTGTCTGTGTTCCAACCGATGTTATTTTAATAAGATATATTGTTATGTTATTTTAGAAAAAATAAGACTTAAACCATTGGTTTAAAAAACATTTTTGTAAACTGAAATAAAATAAAAATTTACAATAATTGAAAAAAAAAAAAAAAACTAAAGAAACTAACTGCAGTCAACTGAAATGGATAATATATAATAATTATTAGCAAAAAGATATGAAAGTTTGTTCTGTGGCTTTTGAGGAATACATGTGATGGCATTTCTTTGCAATATAAGCTGCATCAGCTAAACATGTTTATATACCAAAAAAAAAAACCTTGCTTACAGTTGAAGTCAGAATTATACAATATCTTGCCTATTTACTCTAACCTGCTTAGTTACCTAATTAACCTAGTTAAGCCTTTAAATGTCACTTTAAGCCGAATAGAAGTGTCTTGAAAAATATCTAGTCAAATATTATTCACTGTCAACATGGTAAAGATAAAATAAATCAGTTATTAGAAATGATTATTTAAACTATTATGTTTAGAAATCTTCTCTCTGTTAAACAGAAATTGGGAAAAAAATAAACAGGGGGCTAATAATTTTAACTTCAACTGTATATATAACAAATATAAAACATCTTTTCTTCATCTGCCCAAAAAATATAATCTAGGCATGTTTAACTGCACGTTGTATTTTTATATGTAGAAACTTGTCTGAATTTTTCATAATTTTTACTTTTATACATTAAAGTGGTATTTGTTTGGGGTTTAATGTCTGTTTACTGCTGTGGTCTACACTGATATTCTGTTAACTAAAACAGAAACTAAATATATACAACTACATAAATGTGTTAATAAAAATAAAATATAAACTAAAAATAACAGCATCATTAATGGATCAAACTAAAACTAAACTGAATCCAAAAAAAAAAAATGTATTGAAATAAACACTACTTTAAAATTGCAAAAATATAATAACCTCAGTGTTGTATATCCACACTTTTAATCCCTACACACAATTAATGCTTTTGAAATATGAAAGGGTTTTGGAATCCTCTCTGGGTTCAGATTCGTAATGGTGCTGTTGGAGTGCTGTTGGAGTGCAAGTTAATTATTTCATTGTTTTAATTGGTATCAGACATTAACTGATGAGTTTAAAGAATCACCCAAAAATGTAAATATTCCCTTCAGTTGTTTCAAATCTGTTTGAGTTTCTTTTGTTGAACACACATGATCAAAAAACTTCTATAGTGTTTTGTAAACTGCATGTCAGTGGCTTCTAGATTCTAACATTCTTCAAAATCTCTTTTGTGCACAATAGAAAAAAAGAACGGCTTCGAATCACTTGAGGGTGAGTAAATGTTGAGTAAATTTTCATTTTTGGGTGAACTATCCCACAACTACATATCAGTTCTTTCTGATTAGCACACCTGTTAATAGCTACCTGTTTAACCCTTTAAATCATTGAAATAGCCTGGAGTTTTTGACTTATAAATGACTTTGAATTGTATGGAAACAAAAAAATGTAAAATAATAAATAGTGTAATCATGGACAATAATGTTACTATGATTCTCTGCCTGATAAAGGTTTTTTTTCTGACTATACATTTGCTATTATATTAGCATTTAGGGTTAAACATAATTCTGTCACTTTACTGATGTTCTACTGAGAGTTATAGTTGACGTACTTGCAATGAAACCTTTAATAAAAATTATTTTAAAAAATTATAATAAAGTGTAGATTTATGATAAATGGTAAAGTTTAAAGTCCAAATAAACCTGTTAGTGTTCTTTTGAATGCATTTTAAGGTCATGTGTTACATCTGTGGGGCTTTTTTATCCAGTGTTAATTTATTGATCGACAGTTCTAAGAGCTCCATTTACACACATCACCATGTATCAATAGAACTGAATATAGTTGTGTTGGCAGTGCTTATCTGTCCACCAGCTCAAAGTTTAAAGGTTCACCAAACACTGAGAATCACACCGAGACTATAGAAAATACTTCAATTTGCTTTTATTTTATTATTTAATTTAGTTTCGTTTTGTTGATATTTTTTTATTGTTTTTATCTGATTTTATTTTGTATTTTGTACTATGTATACAATGTATTTTACATAGTTTTTATTTAACTTTTGTTTATTTTTTTCCGTTGTTTTATTTACTTTTTGTATATCATTTTATTTTTGTTTATTATTTTACATTGTTTTTATTTAACTTTTTGTTCATTATTTAATTTTTACTTATTGTTTTATGTTGTTTTTATTTTTTTGTTTATTATTTTATATTGTTTTTATTAAATTTTTGTTTATTATTTAGTTTTTGTTTAATGTTTTACATTGTTTTATTAACCTTTTTGTTTTATTATTTTACATAGTTTTTTATAATAATTTTTGCTTATTTTATTTTTATTTCATAATTTAAGTAAAAGTTTGATTCTTCCATAAAGAAGAGTTGATTGGTTTTTCTCTGAAATGATAAGAAATGCTCAATACATGACAAAGTGTATGACTGCAGCAAATAGTCTGCAAGTACATTTTTTTAAATCTCTTAACTAATCTAATCTAATGCAGTAAAATACTTGGTGGTTCATTCCGCTGTGGCAACCCCTGATTAATAAGGACTAAGCCAAATAGAATGAATGAATGAGTAAACTATGTTACAGTATAACCCCTATAAAATGTTTTTTTACAAACTCATCTGAGTGTCATCTCTCTTGTTTGATTTTTTCTGGACAAGTCTCTCCAGTCATGTTTTACTTTCATTTTCAAATTTACAAACTTATGTACTCTGTGGATAAGTAACACAGCACTCCAAGAAAAGACATTTGTCAGATGCTTAGGTCTGTTACACACATCATCTTCAGCATGATCTTGTTAGTTACTTGATCAGAAACAGTCCCTGATTCCTGCTGTGCTACTGTATGTGCGATTCTTATGGAGCAGAGCCGAAATGTTCAGTTTAGAACTGAATGATTATGTCCTTCTATAAAAGCACAAAGCAAGTCAATAGCCTTGTGTGCCAACAAATAGCCCTGAGGTGCTCACGGTGACACGAGTTTGATTCCCGGCTCAAGGTCATTTGTTGAACATTCACCTCTCTCTGGTTCCCACACTGTCCTGTCCAATAAATAGTGAAACCCCCCTAAAAAAGAAAACACACAACACAAAAGTGTGCTCTGCAGTGTAATGCAAATGTATCAGTGGTATCTTTCATGCTTACTCTTTTACTCCATAATGCTTTCCAGGTTATATATCAGCTAGAAATATTGTCAAATTTTAATATCACTTGATTTTGAGGTTTGTCACACCCCTAAAAACATACTGATATATATATATATATATATATATATATATATATATATATATATATATATATATATATATATAAAGTATATATATATATATATATATATATATATATATATATATATATATATTCATTTATTAATCTGGGGTCGCCACAGCAGAATGAACCACCAACTTATCCAGCAAGTTTTTAAGCAGCGGATGCCCTTCCAGCCGCAACCCATCTCTGGGGAACATCCACACACATTCATACACTTTGGACAATTTAGCCTACCCAATTCACCTATATCACATGTCTTTGAACTGTGGGGGAAACCGGAGCCCCCGGAGGAAACGACGAGAGAACATACACGGGGAGAACATGCAAACCTCACACAGAAATGCCAACTGGTTCAGCCAGGAATCAAAACCAATGACCTTCTTGCTGTGAGGCTATCGTGCAACCCACTGCACTATTGTACTGCCCCCCGACATGTCTGTATCAACCAAGTTTATGTAGCAGATTTCATACACAATAATTCAAAGTGCTTGTACATTCAGTGCGAGTTGTACATTTAAATAAAAATGCGACCAGAAGAGTTTAAAATGAAAGATAAAACAATCACAAAGTAAAATTAAAATTAAGTAAATTGTAAAAAAGTAAATTAATAAAGCAGATTAAAGTGTATTACAGCAAATAAATAAATAAATAAATAAATAAATAAATAAATAAATAAATAAATAAATAAAAAAAAAATAGAATGGTGTGTAATTAGACAGACATAGCTCATTTAGGAAATGCACATCTAAACAGATGCGTTTTAAGCCTGGATTCAGCACATCTGATCTTTTCTGGAAGTTAGTTCCGGCAGTGGGTGACACAGTTCCTGAAAGCAGATTCATCATAAAAAAATTGTTTGCCCGATATAGTAAAAACAATACATTTAGGATTATTTTTTGCTATTTGATCCACTTCAGATGGCGGCCATGATTATTTTGATTGTGCCATCCGTATCATGTGACACTGCACAGAGCAGATGCGCACTTGCTAGAGGAAACACAACAACTCAGCCATGTGGGAGTTTTTCCACTAGTAAAAAAGAGAATCAGAATTGATCAGAATTGCGATTTGTAATTGACTTGAGATCTTCTGTATGCTTGTTAAATACCTTGCTCAAAACCTGTTTGACTTTCTTTCTTCTGTTGAACAACAATTTCAAAGACAACTGGAAACCAGTAGTCATTGACTTCCATTTTATTTGTTATTTATTTGATCAATATCAGGGTTGCAGGTTTTCAGGATTCTTTTTATTTTGTGTTCAACAGAAAGAAGAAACTCAAAGGTTTGGACCCTCTCATGAATTAGTAAATTTTTTTTTTTTTTTTTTTTTTGGGTGAACCACCCCTTTAAACATGAAGAATTGGGTCATAGATTGTCTGTGAAGTGACGTGCTGTAAACTGGTTATTGTCTACATTCATCAGCATCTGTCGGTGTGGTGTGAATTTACATGAGGAAGTAAAACTGATGACAAAACAAAGGTCCTATGGGAGCAACTATCATTTCCTTCAGTTTATCTCAGTCTCTCCCATGCCTTTACATGTAAACAGTATTCACCCATAGCTTTTAAATGACCATCTTTACTAAGTGCAGATAGCCCCTCGGTTTCTATTTTGAGTGCCAATTTATACTAAAGATTTAAGCCCATTGTCCATTACACAGGCAATAAAATAGACGTTTCATGACAAACATCACAATTGATTGTTCGGTGTGGGATCGGAAACTCATTCCTCTTTTAGCATCATTACTGTGGGCCCAGTGACACGTGTGCCTTTAGCATGTGAGTTATGGCTCTCAGGGGCAGGATCTCCTACCTCATCTGATTAAACCAATAAAACGAATTAGCATAAAAAGTGCAGCAGCATTAACAAAATGCCATAAACGCCATTCTCACCTTGCAGACACGGCAAGGAATGATTTACTTACCACTGCAAAGGCAACTAATTCAATCAATAACAGATGGAGATCAGGGGTCGCATTAATAAAACTTTGCGCAGAAACCTTCCCAAAAAATAAATGTACTCAAGCATAAAATAGAATTTTGTTTATTAAAGATTATGGCTCAGTCAAAATTCAAGTTAAACGTGTCTGTAGAGTTTATTTACAACTGCGTACATTCTCCCATCAAGTTTGTTTTTTTACAGATCACAACTTTTGGGTGGGAAATAGTATACGCATGTTTTCACCTTCATTTTGTGTGTACGCCACGTTTATAAATGTTTCAAAATCTTTTGAAAGGTCTGAATGTGTAATATTACTCCTGATATTCAATCCTTGGTGGATGTTATGCTATTAGAGAACACACTATCACAATATACACTCTAAAAAGATATTAGTTGATTTTATTTTAAAAAGCAAGTAAAGTAGTAAATGAACTATGTGCATAATTGTAAAAATTAAGTTTTTAAGTGAAATCAACTTAAAACAAGGTTTACGCAAAAGTAAAATAATTAATCACTTTTTACTGTGTAATAGAATATTGTTATATGTTATAAACAATATATCCTTAAAGGGAGAGTTCACTCAAAATGTACAATAATGTCATTATTTACTCAACCTTTACTTGTCATAAACCTGAGACTAATGTTTCCCTAAAAAACAGAAGATGTTATTTTGAAAACATCTCAGAAATCATACTATGGATGTCAGTGGTTAACATTTTCTAAAATTTCTAGCATTTTTTCCCCCAATAATTATTTATATCTATATCAATATTATTATCTAAAAATCGTAACACTTTAGAAAATGGTCCGTTAGTTAATGTTAGTTAATGTTGTATGTACTTAATTTTGCATTAACTTTAAGCATGAACAATCTTGTACAGCATTTATTAATCATAGTTCAGTTCATTATTAAAAAGTTATGCTTGCTAAAATGCACTCTGAGTTAAGATGAACGGATGTTATTTAACCTAAATAATACTAACTAACATTAACAAAATACCATGATAAATAGGGCTGTGAGATTATGGGAAATATCTAATTGTGATTTATTTTTGACAGATATTGCAATTGCAATTTGATTTGTGATTCAAGAAAGAAATGTAATATTGTTGTCAAGCTTCAGCTTAATAATCTGCATGCCGTGGCAACAATTCTGTGAAAGCTATTAAAAATCACCTGTTTTTGTTCGGTTTCTGTCACTTTGAAACCAAAATATTCCCACTTTACCAATGCTGTTTTTCTTTGCTATTAATTTGTCTATTATAGTTTTTTTCTGTATAGTTCGGTTTAGCAATTCTGATTGGGCAGAACAAAAGTGTGCTCACTCAATTAGTTAGTAAGACTGTCACACACAGCAGGCAGTCACGCAATTGCTATGGATGGGGAAATAAAAAATTCATATATGTTTCATATTGCAGCCTCTTGCGATTAACTAAATGTAACGTTTCAAATTGCAATTCGATTGCATTTAATCACACAGCCCTAATAAATATATTGTTTATGAAAATAGGAAACTCATAAAGGTTTGTAACCACTTGAGGCATGCAGAGTAAATGCAAGTAATTTTCATTTTTGGGTGAACTATCCCTTTAAATCTCTACTCATTGTAATAAAAGTGTAGGATTAAATGATAACATTTTTTTTTAGACAATGAAATCAGGGTTGGTATTTGTAAATACCAACCAGAAACTTAAACTATTCATGAGTAAAAACTGTCAAGCTGTATCAAAGTAGTCCCTGGAAGACATGAGTGACAATCTTCTTATGCTTCCTGGATTAGGAAATTACTACGGGACTCCTCGTCCGGTTCACATTGGCCCTGACAGCCCTCCCATCAGCTACCAGGAGCACCGCAACCTGCTAAGAAACTTCCGCACTCGCAGTAAATCACTCAGCAACCTGGAGAAAGCAGGAGAGGAAGGCGACAACAGTGAGGAGGACTCAGGTCTATCAGGTCAGATAAATATCTACAAAATTTATGTATGAATTTATTTATTCATAAAATAAAGTGATATATAGTTGATGTATATCTAATATAAATTGTTAGTATTGTTATATATTTGCTTGTTGTTTGAATATTAAATAAGAGCCAGTTTTGGTGAACATTAAACCTGTTAGACTGGCATTGCTAATTCTGGTTTCTTCCACTTCAGCATCACAAAAGTAAACAAATAGTAAAAGGGTGTAAAATCATGAAATATTGTAAAAACATCTTTTTTTAGAATCAACTTTTTGGGGGGTTTTGATTTGATATTGTTTTTAAAAAAAAGAGTTTTTGTTTTTTATTTTATTTTGTCTTTTTTTGTCTTCGTTTTTGATTTTGTTCCGTTGTAATTTCATTGTATTGTATAAATAATTCTGGCATAACATGAGGATCAAACTAAACAGAAAACATCACTGACAATATATAAAATTGTTTTGTTTTGTCTTGTTTTTTGTTTTGTTTTGTTTTTTGACTTGTTTTGTTTTTGTTTTGTGTTGTGTTTTTTTGTTTTGTCATGTTTTTTTAGTTTTATTTTTTATTTAGTTTTTTATATTGTATTGTTTTTTTCTTTGCTTTGTTGTAATTTCATTGTATTTATATGCAGAATTCTGACAACATGAGGTTAAAACTAAACTGACAAACAGATAATGAAAAAATATTTATTAATTTTAATTATTTACCTGAATTCATTAAAAACTTGATTCATTTATGAGAGTCGCTATTGGAAATAATTACTTGCGGTTCAGTTCAGAGAGTTCATTCAGTAAAATGAAGGATTCATTTCATTTTCTGTTGTTTATTTGTATGTGTGGTGCTTGTTAGGACACCAAAGAAAAAAAAATGCATTTTGGACATCAGAATGAGGTTCACAAACTGTTTCCATCTCTTAAAATGTAATTGAGACAGCAGAGTCACAATTTACTTGACAGTGTAATTGGGATATTCCAATGCTTCTGTTACAAAAGTAAAGTGAAACAAACAAACAAACAAAAAAACAACAACTTACTGCTTTAAATGTTTTAGTCAGATCAAAATAGCTACAACTGCAAATCATAAAAGTGGGGACAGTATAGAAAACACATTAATAAAAGTATTGATTTCTAAAAAGAAAATTTAACTTCATTGCAGACAATATGCAATGAAGTGTGCAGAAATATTTCATGTTTTATCTTTTCATTTCAGTTGTAAATATACATCCTTTCCTGTCATTTAGACTTGCAATACATTCCAAAAAATGCTGGGACATGAACGTTTTAGGGCTAGTAATTACGTAAATTGGTTAATGATGATGTGATTTGAAACAGGTGATGTCAATAGGTGATTGTAATTATGATTTGGTACAAAAGCAGCACCCAAGAAATGAATTACTTTTATGGACAATATAACTTATATTTCTCTTATTTTAGAATTAGATGCAGTTAAATGATTATTAGAAAATTATTATTATTGTTAATTGCCTACTATTTTGTCTTTTGTGCTCTGGATTGAGGTTGAAAATGTTGCAGTTTGTGGTCTATATTGCAAAGTATTTGTCTTGTATCTGAGAAATGCTTTGTCTTTTATTCATGATTGCTTTTGAAAATCTCAGATTTACATTTTTATAAATCAGTACACTTTTAAATCTTTTAACTTCAGCTTGCCAAAACAGGATGCTCAAAAACATGCACAAAAGCCCCAAAAGTGGCTGTAATTATATAAATAAAAATATCCAGTCTTATTCATTTCTTCTCTGCTCATAGTGACAGCTGAATAGCTACAAGGCAAATAATGCCATTCTTCTTTATTTTCAGTCATTGTTATCCTGCTCTAATGTCAGCTCTAACATTCTCTTTCTTCCTGAGATGCTTACAAACCCGTGCTCCGTGTGATATTTTTCAGGTTTCCTTGTCCTTTATTATTATTCCACCTTTGCCTGACATTTGGATCTGAGGAGAATGTGTGGGCGCAAAACACAATACAATATATCACAGAGGCTCGGCACATCATTACACAGCATTATCCTGTTATGAAAGCCACAGATGCTGGATATATTTGAATCAGTTTTTTTTCTATTTCGAGCACATGATTGAAGTGCATTTGATTTGTTTACATATGTTAAGGATTATAGGACATGCACTGCAAAAAAAATGCTGGGTTCCACACAATTGATTTGTACTGGGACAACATGAGGGAATCAAGTTAACTTTTTACAAATTTAAGTGTGTTGAGCATAAACTATTGTGTCCCCTCCAAAAAACAATAAGTGTGTTGTTTTAGCTCATTTTAAATAAGTCAAGTTGAACAAAACAGCAAACGTCAGTTTTGTAGTGTGTGTAGTGTCCGAATCAAACATTGACAATAAGGGAATCAGCTTTTTTGCAGAAGTTTGTGTAAGAAATATGCCTTAGCGAAGCAAAGTCATATATTTTATTCAATAACATCTTATTTATTAATCAAACGTAATACAGTTTTCCGTGTTTTTAGGTATAATAATTGGATTCTCACAGGTTCTGACTATTTCAACAGACAAATTTGATTCTCAAAGATGACCTATTTTAGATACAAAACGGCACATTTAGGGGACAAGCACTGATAAATAGATGATCAGAAAATTGCACTTACTGTTTTATTATTTACATTTCATGTGTTAGCATATGTGGATACCTGTTTTACAAGAAAAGTGTATTTTTGTCTATTGAATCTTCTGGTTTCAGACTGCTGACTGAATAGTTTCTATCTGGTGCATGATTATGCATTGATAATGGTTTAAACCATTATAGGGGTGGTCAAATTTACATTGAAATGAACTTAATATCATTTGTGTTATTATTATTATTATTATTTAAGATGCAGTTCAGTGTAAAGTATTGTCCCACTATTTCAAGGTCAGTCCGCCACTCCCATTCCCTCTCTGACATCGTTTTTTTTTGTAGTCATTATAAAGGAGGGGGTCAAACCCTCCTGTAATTCACACCCTGGTCATAGTATAATCAATGTTTAGACCAAATTAAGGCTATGTTTACACGACAAAGACTGAAACGTGTTTCTCTTGCATTTTGAAAGATTCACGCTTGCATGACATTTTCAAAATGGCCTGCATTTACACATGCATGCAAAAAAGGCCAAAACACAGTATTATGTATGTCAGGCCAGTATTTTGGTCAGTGTGTTAGTAAACAGTAGCTGTTGGAAGTGACAGTGCTGGTGTGTATGTAGAATTTGCTATGTCTCAAAGTGTTAACTTGAGCAACACAACAGTAACACATACTTCATGATTGTTGTGTGTTTGTTTGCGCTTGCGTTTTTAATGTGCACCACTCTGGGAACGTATCATACGTGTGCATGACATCCTCTTTTTCATAAACTCTCATATTCAGGTGTATACACAAACACCATTTTTAAAAACGTCCACTTTTTACCCATTCAGAGATTTATTTGTTTTTAGTCTCAAAACCGCAGTTGTCATGTAAACAAACAGGCAAACGTATAAAAAGTTTATATTTTTTTGGCAAAAAGCATTGTGTAAACAGCCCCTTAAGGTCACTATGACATAATTTTTTACTTTTGTGTACTCCGAAGCCTCAATATAAACCCCTGTCACTGCACTTTTATGACAAAGTCAAGATGACAATTTTTTTGTTGTTGCTTTAACATATTTTATTGGGTTAATTGGGTAAAAATTAATGTCACTATATTCCAGTGACTAGGAATGTAATGTCAGTAATGACAAAAAAAAAAAATACAATATTTAAGGCAACAAGAATATTTTTTACAGTGTTGTCATTCTACAATGGAAAATGCTTCCCAACATTCCTAAAGACTAGTTTTCTATGTCTTCACATTTCATGAGGACCTTTGAGAGACCTAGCCGAGGACCATCTGGGCTTGCTGCATTCTGCCCACCAAGACCACATTTGACAGCACAATGTTCTGACCCACATACTCCTTAGGGCATGCATGGATGCTCTCTCCTTGATAAAGACGGCACTACTGCCAGGGTTATGTTTGTCAGGTAGTGTTTTATTTTATGTCTTTTCCAAGGTCTTTAATACAAGTCTCCTACTTGTCTCATCCTTTAATGGGGTGACATCATGAGCAATCACATTTTATTAGCTTTGTTTTTAGGTAGAAGTGCTAATATGAAACATGCTGTAATATTAGGTGCTCATTTCATTTATCATGTCTAGTCAGATGTCAGATAAATCTGTGCTATATTTTATCTCTTAATCTTTAGTGAAATAAAGTTAAAATACTAGCTCACCAAAAAAAAAGATCTGCTGTTTCTTTCTGTTCAGATGTAAAGGGAGAGCTTACAAAGTAGCCTAAAATGTTTGTTATCTTTTACACATCCTTGTTTCAAATCTTTTTTTTTAGATTCTTCTTTCTTCTTTTGAACACAAAGTATTTGCTTTTGCCCAAAATTATTAAATTATCTTGTTTTATGTTCAACCGATTAAAAATGATTATAACCATCTGAGTGTAAGTTCTGTATATGGTGAGAAGTTGCATCTTTGTGTGAACTGCCCCTTTAAGTGACTTTCTTTCTCCAGCAGAACAGTAAAGTTGACTTTTAGCTGAAATCATTGTCCATGGAGGATTTATAAACTGCAAGTTCAAAGCAAAAAATGAATCCCCAGCGCTCCAGAAAATATACAGTAATGAGGTCATCTGAAGCTTAGGAAACTGAACATTATTGACAACATTATAACCTGTTATAAAATACTTTCTCTCACATGACGCATACATAGTAGCAAGAGTTAATGATGTCACTACATATGCCACATTGAAAAAAGGATAAGTACACTTTAAAAAGCAATAATTGATGTTATTTTTAAAATTTGAGTAAACCTTTAGCTTTTAAATGGGGCCTATTGTGCAAAAATCACTTTTATTAAGCGTTGTGTGACAACAGTGTGTGAGTACAACCAGCTTTTAATAGTAAAAATGAATTCATTTTATTTTTTTATAATCACACTTCATAAAAACAGCCT